TTGCTGAAATGAATCTAATATTAAACGAGAGAAAAAGGAGGTGAGTACCATACACCAAAAAAAAAAAAAAGAAGAGGAGAAATAGGTGCTTGAGAAACCTCGTGTTTTGCATTCCGTTCGTGAAAAATCGACATTACTTCGAGGCACTTCATCCGATCCATTAAGTTACATCGATCCATAAGTTCCCTGCTAACGCGGACTATTTTAATAAGGAGGCGGCGTGCAGCTTTTGGGCTGGTGATACGCGTTTCTTCCTGTTTTCACCATCTTCAATTTCCTACGAGTTTAGGAATAATTAAAGAAACATACCACAAGTAAGTCATAGAACGCATCCACTTCTTTTGAAAGGTTTTTGAATGACGGCAAGGATTTGATGATAATTCGGAATGAATCGACTTCAATTGGCCCATAAGTTGCTCTGACGTCTTGACATCTTCCCAGCCATTTTCGCTTAAAAAATCCAGATTCATGTCTTCAATAGCGGGTGTATGGAGACTGGATAAGAAGGAGACGTCTTGAGTTGTTGGTGGTGTTGTGTACGAAGCGACTTGCAACTTCAGGCCATTTACCACAGTCTCCAGAGCACGTATTTGATCCATGCAAATGGCAGCCTTTGCTCTCTCTGCGAAGCAGCTAATGCATGCGGTAGAAGGTATAGGGCTCATTGCAATACTTTTGAGCATTTGACATTCGACTTCCAGCTCCAAGTTCCTCCTCCTGAGTCGCTCGATTTCCAGAGTGGCAGCAGCTGCTGCTTCAATGCTAATCTGTGGCTCTTTAGGAGTTCCAGCAGACTGCTGTGACTGCATGAGGGCAGCAGTGAGTTCTGCCACTTTGGATTCCAGGTCATTGATGTAGTTCTGCTTGCGTTGTCTCAGATTCCGCTGCGCTTCGCGGTTTAGCGCCGCTTTCTTTGATGGTGCTTCGTTGGTTGTTTTTTTGCGTCCACGATTACTGCGAGTGTCGTATTCGGCTTGGGGGAGCAGGTCATTGGGCAGGTTATGCATCTAGGTCCTCTGAATTTTAAAATATCCATATCAGATCAGAGGTTGCAGAAAGTTTGGGCGACAAGTCGTACCACTGGTTTCGAGACCAACAAGAATTTAATAATTTTTTTATCTTTTTTTTTTCTAAGTGGGTAACTTGCGACACGGACAGACGGCGGCAAACAAAAAAGCATCGCAGCGCCGCGCCCTCGCAACAAGAAATGGACACCGAAGCAACACCCGTGCTGTTGCCAACGCCGCCGCCGCGTTCGCCGTCGCCGGCGCCGGGGCTCGAAGTGGTGGCTCTTGAGCAGCGGCTGGCGCGGGGAACGGCAATGCTCAAGTATCCAAACAAGGCGGCTCGGAGGCCGGAAGAGAGAATCGTGCGGGTTGTTGGCGGCGGCGTGGGCTGGGACTCGAAAAAGAAGAAAGAAGGTCAGTGTTCCTAATTAGAGTATGATTCCCATAGTTTGACACTAAAAAACACTATTCAAACAGCAACCTTCCTCAACATCCGCGAAATACGTCTTGGCCAAAATACTCGTGCTTTTGAATTGCACTGGGAAAACTGCCGATGTCGAAGAGCGTGCATTCTCCATTATTTACGTTGCTGAGGGGCAAATACAAAATGCTCAATCTAGGTTAATTCAAGTTTGCTCCTTTCATCTGCTTCTTGCAGCTAACAAAAAAAACTACGAAAAAACCAAATCGCGATTCCGTTAATAGTGGCGCCAACAAAGGAGGAATGTGCCATTTGGGTCGCTGGTCTCCACATGTTACTCGCCAACACTTCTGTCAGTGTCGATACCCCCTCCTACACCACTTGTCATGTCACCTATTCCTGGATCAATGAATTCATGGCTTGAAAAATTGTGGAGTGATGCAGATCCAAATAATGTCGGTAAACTTGGCCTGGACAGTGTTACAGCCTTGATGGGACGTCTGAACTTGCGGTTATCAAAGCTTGAAGTCAAAAGCGCATTGAAGGTGCGAAACTACTGTTCTGAGAAAACCGTGGAATTCAATTTAATTTTTTTATTGTGGCATTTACCATAGAATTCTGGAATCACGAAACACAGTTTCCTGGTCTTTGATGACTTTGAAAGACTTTATAGAACTTTAAGATTTCGGCCGGAAATTGGAGAGTTGTTTGCAAGTTTGGCAAAGACAAGCCCTTCTGGATTGACGTTTGAAGAATTTGAACAATTCATGATTCACATCCAAAAGGTTTTTTAATTCAAAACTCTTATCTTTTTTTTGATTGTTCTCATTATTGAACGCGGCTGTAGAGTACAGCAACGAGATCACGATGTCTGGAGATTTACAACAAGTATCTGGGAGCACAACAAGCAAGCGATGCCTTATATTCAAACGGGTCTTCCTCAATACTGCCGCTCATGGACATTGATCACTTTTCTGCATTTCTATTATCAGCAAACAATGCAATCTTCCGGAAACAGAATGCTGCTTCTGTCCACCACGACATGACCCACCCATTAACAGACTATTTAATCAACTCGAGTCACAATACTTATTTGCTGGGTGATCAGATTGCCGGAGAATGCAGCATTGAGGGATATATTCGCGCTCTTCAGCATGGATGTCGATGTTTAGAATGTTTGTTCCTTCATTTGATGATAAGGTAAAATTCTGATAATATTTTTTTATTGTATTCAACAGTGGACTGCTTCGATGGACCGAATGGACCTACTATTTATCACAAAAACAGTTTGTAAGTTTTATTATTCTTTTTGGTTCATGAGCACCAGTTTCTCACGCTGCCTTCAAAGAACAAATCGTATTCTATTTCGAGACGTTGTGGACGCTATTTCTCGTTATGCATTCGTTGCATCCCAGTATCCATTGATTCTTTCACTCGAAACACACTGTTCTGTGGACCAACAGGCGGCTATGGCGCGAATTTTGGTCGAAGTGTTGGGAGACGCATTGGTGCAAGAACCTCTGATAAAAAGGCCTCAGAATTCGATGCAAATTCTTCCATCTCCGACTGACTTGATGGGTCGGATATTGATTAAGGTTTCGTGACGTTATTGAAAAGCAAAACTATGTTTTAAACGTTTTGCGGTTTAGGGTAAAACAAAACCTATTAATCCAGATTTGGCCAAAATGGTATCGTCAGATGAGATTGACGATGAGTCTGAGGATGACGTGGGAGTATCAGCCGTTGTTGGAAGTGGGGTTATCTTGAATAGTCCACCCGGATCCGCATCTTCTGCTACATCATCACCCCCTCGAGCTGCTTACTACAATACAGTTGATGTTTCTCCACTTTTGTTGGATTCTTGTGAGTCCGGCTCAGTAGTTGATGCATTGAAACGCACACATGCACGAGAAGAGGAAGCGTTTGTACACCGAGTGTCTTCTTCATTAACCATGGGTTCTTCTGTGGCTCAGGGGGATATTGGAGGTGGTGGTGGTAGCAAGAGGGCGTCACTCCGGAAAATTGCCAGTTCGAATCGACTTGGAGACCGCGCAGCCATCAAAAAACGATATATTGTTGAAAAGAGTTTGATGGATTTGGTTGTGTATTGCAAAGCTGTCCGCTTTACGGGGATGGACATGCTAGGTATTCTCTGAATGATTGAATTGATTTTGTTGCGCAATTCTTTTTGAACTGATTGCTTCATAAGGATCTCTTCGATTTGATGAAATGGTATCCATAAGTGAATCTCGATTTTCTGCTTTTTTGGCCAAACCGGGGGCAAATGGACAAAACTCTACACCGCCATCACCAACTCTTAAAACACCTCTTTCGACGAGCCCCACTACTTATAACATCACCTTTGGAACAAATTTTCAGCAGCAGCAGCAACAGTACGTCAACAGTGGCGTGAGTGAAATGGTCTTGCAAGAGCAATCATCAGCAGTGGGAATCGCTTCCAACACATGGATAATCCACCATACCAAACATCTGAGCAGGATATACCCCTCTCCTCTTCGAATTTCGTCATCTAATCCAGAGAATCCGTGTCTATTCTGGGCAGCAGGTGTGCAAATGGTTGCCCTGAATTATCAAACTTTTGATCGAGGGATGCAAGTAAACAGCGCCATATTTAAAGGGAACGGGGGTTGTGGTTATGTTTTGAAGAGCAGCTCCTGTGGTGTTTCGGGCCAGCGACGGAAGTGGGGATGGAACTGGCATGATGGGGGTTGGAGGTTTGGAGTATCCTTGGAACATTCTCACGATGCAGAAAGTGAAAGCGTGGGATCTGTCGGGGCATTGAAATCAAAACATGTCAAGGAAGAGAAATCGATGACTTTGACTGTGAAGGTGATATCTGGACAGCAATTGCCGAGCACGAAAGAGGGTGGGGGCGTGGCGGGCCGATTGATTCATTCGCCTCCATGGGTAGAAATTGAAATTGTTGGAGTTGAAACCGATTGTGCTCGATACAAGACGCGAGCCAGTAGTAGTGGAGGTCAGTGATTTTTACACTTTCTTTTTTCTACAATGGTCCTTGTTGAATCTTGTATCGTTTTCCAGGTTTCAATGCTCTTTGGAAAGAAGAATTTCATTTCCAAGTGAAAGAACCTGAACTAGCTGTCTTACGGTTCGCCCGTCCTTTTCTTTTCAGGAATTGGTGACAGCTCATTTTAACAAAATCTTTTCGACCAGATTCCAAGTTATATCCAGCGAAAATCGCCTTAACGAATGAAGTAATTGGTCCGATATGCCATCGCTTTAGACAATATAGAATTAGGTATGTATAGTCTGTTCAAGGTTGGTCTTCCACGACTTGACAATAGATATAAAAAACCAGGCTACAGACATGTGCCTCTACTGAATAAGAATGGGGAAGTGATTCCCTTTTCAACCTTGTTTTTGTACCTGTCGCTCTCTTGATGCGGAGCTATTTTTTGCTTCGTTATGTAAATAAAGTTCCATATTGGTTGGAATGATACCAATTGCAAATACTTGCTTTTGCATGATTCGTTCTTGCGATCGAAGCCAATTTCTCATTAATAAAGTCCTTAGCTCCATTGATAGACATCGGGCAGATGGCCGAGTGGTTAAGGCGCCAGCTTCAGGTGCTGGTCACGCAAGTGGCGTGGGTTCGAACCCCACTCTGCTCATTTTGTGATGGTTTACAATTGAGGCATCGGATCTTGAATGGCACTTATATTGAATGGCACTCACATTGAATGGTTGAATGGTTAAATGGAGGCAGATTACCATGTTGAACTTTTGATGCCCACAGTCTTTATTGGTTTCATCCAAGAACAACGGCGGTTCCATAGGCATTGACTCCAATTATGGCGCTTTCAAATCGAACTCCAACAACTGCATTCGCACCGCGGGCGGCACCTTCTGCCAAGAGGGCGTCCAATGCCGCCTTTCTACCTCCTTGTTCGCTGGCATCTGCCTTGATGAATCCAAGCTGTCGGGTAATCTTGAATCCAGGAAGTTCGTTCAAAGTCGTGGCGAATCTGGTGTGGGTGAATAGGAGGAAACAATGTGGCAAGTTTAGATCAGCAGTCGTCAAGAAACGCACTCAAGTATGGGCAGCAAGATTCATTCAGCGTTTCTTCCGGCATGATATATACCTGGGATCGATAAGAGTGCGTTGCTGTGGCTGTCCGTTCATTGCTGGTAGTGGTGCAGATGCTGATTGCGGCAACTTTTAATTGGGTCACTGCGAAAACAAATTGGGTGACGTTTCAGAAAGTCGGTTTATTATTCAAACAGGAACAACAACAACGGCAGTTCCATGTGCAAATGAATTGGCAGAGCAGTCGAACCGCACGGAGATGATGGCATTTGCACCCAAAGCTCCAGCATGACCGAGTAAACTGTGGATGGCCAGATCGTAGTGGCTGGCAAGAAGTTGCTCCTCGCATGCTTCCATCACAGCCTTATAACTCTGGGCAGAACCCCGAACATGTCCGAGATACTTTACAATTTTGTATCCTGGGATTGTATTCAAGGTTGTGCTAAATCTGTGTAGAAGAAAGTCTCAGCGCTCAGATAAGGCATCCTTCCACCGCACTTACTTTGGGTCGACTAAGACGGCATGTTGTTCCTGCTTTGGTTTCGCCATTTCCTTCATGTTGTTGTTGTAGTTTGCGAGTCCTCCAAAGAGACCACCACCACCCCCCACCACCCCCAGCAGCAGTAGTACCGCCTGCAATCCTGCCAAATGCGGCTTGACCCGCTGAGTTTACTTGTGAGTCTAACTGAGAGATCTTGTCCCTAAATCCCTGGAACATTGTTGGAGTAGAAGATCAAGTGGGGGTCAATTTAAAACCAATTTGTTGCAAAAAAAATATGGCCGCACCTCAACAAAGAGTCCTTGTCCACCCTTCGCTTGTGGTTACAACACCTGAAGTCCCTGGTCATGATCTGGTACAAACCTTGGGCGTTGTTCGTGGCTTCCGTGGTGAACGGCCCCAGCAGACGATCATGGGATTTCCGATGCCTCGCCAGCTCGACCAGAACCAATTCCGCAATGAATGCTACGAAGACCATGAAGTTGCTTTCCGAGAGATGAGTGCTCAGGCTGGAGCCAGAGGCGCCAATGCTATCGTTGGAATGCTGTATGATGGGGTTTTCTGCTATGGAACTGCAGCGATTGTGAGACCAAGAAAGTGAAGTCAATAAAAACTGTTCTTTGAAACTTCTTCAATTATCGATGCTTCTTTGTGCAGTTGTAGACAACTTCGCTTTCTTTATATGCCCCAATTAAATACAGGAAACCAATTTCTTTCTTGAAACACCAATGGCCCAACAACAGCGTCGGCTGATCGATCCCTCTTTCATTGTTGGCAGCGCTATAATCGAAGGATATGAGATTGTTCAGTGCCTTGGAATTGTAATTGGAACGGGACAGCAGGACTTTGGCCGCAGAGATCCTTTCGACCTTAGTCAAATGAAGGAACAGTTTGCGCTAATGCGGAACACACCCTTGATGTCAATGTCGGAGGCTTTGGAGTACGGGAACAAGGTGGTGAATGATCACTTCGTCAAATTCAACGATGAAGCTTTCAATGTAATGTCTCAAGAAGCTGCCGCACGAGGTAAGTATCATTAATCCGGTCACTGCTTTCGATATCCTAGACTGACTATTAACTACTTCGTCTGTTTGATACTTGTTAGGAGCGAATGCCATCGTTGGAGTTGAATATGACTCTCGTTCGCCTGAACATGTCAGTGTTTACGGAACTGCTGTTATTGTCCAACAAAGAAGACAATAGCGATAGTAGCTAAAAATAAAAGAGAGATTTCATTTGATCGCCATGTTTTGAAAGTCCACTGTGGAGGTATTGACGGTGAAACCAATTTCCTGCCCAATTTGTTTCTTGGAAACTACCGCACCGCCATGGCCCAACGTCCGCAGCTTGTCAACCCAGCATACATTGTCAGCACTTCCGACATTCCGGGCTTTGAAATCGTGCAATCGTTCGGAGCCGTGCGGGGGATCGCCGTGTTCGACGCCAAGAGACCAATTCAGATGGGCTTTGGCGGCGCTAAGCAGAAGTCTGATCACGACGCCGAGCGCCAGGGATTCAAGCAGAGCCTCGATGCGTCGTTCCAGGAACTCAGCGCCCAGGCCGCCTCCCGAGGTAACAGCGGCGAACTTGCCCCCACTGCATTCGTGTTCACAGCGTATTAATACTGTCCTTGCAGGTGCCAATGCTATAGTTGGCGTGCGTTATTCCTCAAACACTCACCGCAATATGTCTCACCAAGCCTACCAGACTCAAACACCGCAGGGAGTCCTTGAGAAGAAGGTTCCAATTGAAGTCATTGAAGAAGTTTGCGCTTATGGAACAGCGGTTCTGATTGCCCCAAAGAGACAATAAATCTGGGTTGTTGCTGTTTAATTCATATATTCTTTTTTTTTTGTCTTCGATTCTCTGAACTGATGGACGCCGTCTTCTCTGCGCCCGTCCCAGTTGGGGCTGGCTCGAACTCTAAATCTAACGCGACGATGGTCAACAATACATGTGTTGAGCTCGAATCGAAGCAGGCGAATATTGACAACACGTTCAATCAACAACAAACACCACAACAACCTCAACAACTCGCCACCAAAGATCACACAGCACTCGCCGCCACTGGTCTTTCAGGCTCTACGACTTTTAGTACAAATTCAAATTCGAACGGGCAGCAAAATATTATTGGCGGTCACTATAAAGTTGGCCGCAAGATTGGCGAGGGCTCATTCGGTGTAATTTATGAGGTAATGCTGGTGTACTATTGTATTTAATTTATTTATGCGAGGCGATGCGCGTTCTGCGGTGTGCTGGGTGCTGCGGAATACATAACTGAACAGAATTCTTCACCAGGGTATAAACATAGCTACAAACATTCCCGTAGCCATTAAATTTGAGCCAAGAAAGTCAGAAGCTCCTCAGTTACGTGACGAATACCGAACTTACAAGATTCTTGCCAACACAGGTTCGTAATTCTTAGTAGCCTCTATTGACTAAACGACTTGTGACAGTTGGTGTGCCAAACGTATACTTTTTTGGTCAAGAAGGTCTTCATAACATTCTGTGCATTGATTTGCTGGGGCCCAGTTTGGAAGATATGTTTGATCTCTGTCAAAGAAAATTCACCACCAAAACTGTCGCTATGGTCGCGAAGCAAATGGTACACCTTATTAATTCAACCAAAATCTCGACTTTCTTTACTTCTTGGTCCAGGTTTTTTACTAAATGAATTGCAGGTTACACGTGTTCAATGCGTTCATGAGCGACACTTGATCTACAGAGACATAAAGCCAGACAATTTTCTCATCGGGCGCCTCCCTAGATCTGCAGAAATGCTGGCTCGAGCAGCTGGAACCAACAACCCAGATCCCTATGGCGTTGTGTCCAACCATACTAAAGAATGGCCGCACCCTGCTTCGGCAATTTTCCTTGTTGACTTTGGTATGGCAAAGTTATACCGTGATCCGCGCTCTGGACAGCACATTCCTTACCGTGAGAAGAAAAGTCTTAGCGGCACCGCACGTTACATGAGCATCAATACACACTTGGGAAGAGAGCAATCCCGCCGAGATGATTTAGAATCTCTCGGCCATGTTTTTATGTATTTCTTGCGTGGATCGCTTCCATGGCAAGGAATGAAGGCAGCAACAAACAAGCAGAAGTATGAAAAGATTGGTGAAAAAAAGAGAACGACTTTGATTAAGGAGCTGTGCGAGGGATTTCCAGACGAATTCGCAATTTACTTAAAGTATTGCAGGGAATTAAAATTTGACGAAGAGCCAAATTACGATTACTTGAGGAGTCTGTTCGTGAAAGGTGTGTTTTACCTTTTTGGTCCTTCGGAATGTCTGAGCTTCATCGTTTTTAGTTCTCCAAGATGCAAATGATGTGGATGATGGAATATTTGATTGGATGACGATTATGGATATTCAGCGTAGAGAACGAGAACTTGAACGTGAACGTCGAACCCACGCGAAGTCCAGCAACTCCGCCCTTTCTCCACCCCAGCTCCAATCGCAGCCTCAACCACTTGCTCCACTTCAACAATCAACGATTCCAGTGCATTTGACTGTCACTTCTCCTGCTCCAACAACTACTCACACTACCAATGCATTAAGTCCCAACGTTGCCACCCCTGGAATTCGGCCTGCTCCACAGCAAGGAGATTCTATTCGCCCCTTGAATGGAGGAACCTCTCTCATGACAACAACTACAGCAACTCAGCAAAACAACAGCATGGGTAACCAGCTCCAGCAACAGCCAATGCCAGCGCCACCATTGCCACAAACACCTTTAAAAACGATCCCAGAAAAGAAAACCATCCAACCGCAACCATTACCTGCCACTGCAACGCCTATTTCGGCAAATTATCCACGAGGTGCAGTAGCAGTTTCCAATCCTACAGCCCCTCCAACAACAGTTGAAGCAAGCTCTCCTCAACAGCAGCAGCCACAATTTCAAGCAACTTCTCCCACAAAAGTACGCACGTCTGCAACAAAAAAGGTGCACGGAAAAGTCCATGGACCTCCTGTCTCGGAAATGAACTCTCCACAGGGAGGAATGAGAAGGAGAAGAAAGTGGTGGCAGAGTCTGTGTTACTGTATGCACCACCAGGAATGAGTTGGGCTCTCGGTGTTTTT